CTTTCTGCTGAGTTACTTTCAATTCTCAACTCACTCTTTACGCATGCATGTGTGCAACTTTGTGTTGGCACAGGTGACGCTGGATTGTCCGGGCAGCGAAGACTCTCCCCGGGTGGATAAGCTGGTGGAGAGGATCTTCCGCTGCAGCTGTCAGTCGTGCAGTAAGGAAGGTGTCCAGGAGGGGGCGGTGATGCAGCTGTATCCAGCAGACAACAGCCTGGATCCTGTCCCGTCTTTATCAGACAGCGGGGTTCAGTCTGACCCCCTGCCCCACACAGACACGCACTCCTACAAGCATGCTCAACTACACACAGACCATCACTCACTACCACACACATCAGACGGGGGGTAGGTCTGTAATCTTGTCGCTCACTCCAGGGGACTTTACCGCCCTCCCCACTCTCCCCCGACACTGCATCCTCTGTACCAAGCTGTAGTATTTTAAAGGCACTTTGAAGATATGACTTCACTTTGTGTTAAAGCGTTTCTCTAAAGGCACACACACACACACACACACACACACACACACTCACAGACACACACACACACACACACACACACACACACACTCACAGAGTCATGTTATCAGACGGTGTGTATGAACTCGTCCAAACACAAAAGCCTGTGCACTCTTTTGTTTGTTGATTAGCACATTCATGTGTGTGTTTGTGCATCCAAACATGACTATAGTCTGTTAATAAGCTGCAGTCTTTTAATCTGCTTCAAATGCATTAAAGTCAGTTGAGATAACTCTCTTTAGTTGTCGTGTTTGTCTGAAAGCTTTCCTGCTGCTCTGTCACTTTTGTTTTTTATTTTTTCAATGTCACAAGAAATAAAACTGAAAGCGCTTTGTTTGTGCTGGCTCAAAGACCCACTTTCAGCTTCCTGTCAGGGACTACAAAGATGAAGCTGTGACTCTATTATGTGGTTGTTGTGTGACTCTTGGCCATGGCCACATGGTCTTGTTTTATTGTGACCAACAAAAATGTAGCCATGTCAGACTTTTAATCGATGCTGGTGCCACTTACTGGAGCGAAGAAGAGCTGCAGGATGAGACCCTCCTGCTTGTTGGCCTAAATCTGATCTCAGTGCCACAGAGGAACTTTTCCCTGCACATTTACTCAATTATCTACTTTATTTATGGTGCTGCATTTAAGGGATGTGGTCATGTTTTTCCAGTCATCTTTAAAAAAAATTCTGATATGTCAGTTTTACGTTTATGGAGTTTTCATTGAAGTTATTTGGCAATGAAAGATCATTTTTTGAGGGTTCTTTATTCAATACCACTTTATAATTCTGATCCACTACATTTATTTCAGAATTTTAGTTTCTAAAAAAAAATACGATTTTGTATTCAGAACAGATCAAAAACTTCAGATTAGTTGTTAAATATAGTTGTGCTCCGACGTTTATATACACTCATCATGGGCGTTAATGTCATGGTTATTCTGGGCATTCTTTGAACTGCTGTTTCTCCAGGGTGGAACGATTGTGCAGCACACATCCTTCGTGACTTAAAAAAAAGAACTGGGGGCACAAGTTTTAATTTTCTATAATCCGCACAGGGTCAAAAGTATACATGCATCCCCACTAATATTTGGTTTTTAGTTGGGACACATTTGATAGCCATTAACAAGAATCGGCAGACTTCATTTAAACTCACTGGTTTCTGAAGATCTAAGAATTAGATTTGTAGCTTTACAAAAGTTGGGAAGGTCTCTTTATGGTCAGACTATAGTTGAGCTATTTATACAGATAGATATGATGGGAGGAATAAAGATGAGGCATTCAAACGTAATAACACTGTACCAGCTATCAAGCATGGTGGTGGTAGCATCATGCTCTGGGGCTGTTTTGGTGCCAGTGATATTGGTACATTGCACAAACTTGTGCTCAACTTGTATTTTTTAAGCCATTAAAGATACATGTTGTACAAATATATACACATTTATCTATATATTACTAGTCCTATGTGTATATATGTGTAGATTAGTAGGCAGCATTAATTAAATATCCCAATTTTATTATGACAGAAGAAAATACAAACTCCACACAGATTCAAGCCCAGGACCCATTTCCTGTCAGAGCACTGCACTAACCACTGAGCACCATTCTGCACTTGTATAGTTTTTCTTCAGTAACATTTTATACAGGATTTTACATGTAATAGAGTACACAGTGTGCTTGCACGGCTTCTTAAATAAAGGCTTTGACTATCTATTTCATCACTGCTATCAGCGAAATGATCCTTTTCTCTGTGACTGCAAAGTAAGGAATGGGGTAGAAAAACCACAATCCCCATTCTGGCCAGGTAATGCAGAGTACGTATCTGACACAAAGACTTTCAGTACAAATTCTGTCTGTGAGTAACTTGCTAAAATGCAGTGATGTGGTGCAGTTAGTTTGAAGAAAATGCTGATGTTGTTTAATATATACACAAGAAACATGCAGGTCTGTTCTGCGCTTTGTTCAGAAAGTTCACAGGTGCTCCAGCAGATGTCAGCAGATGTCACAGGTAGAATCCAGAGAGACGACATTTATCGTGCACTTTACTTACAAAATCTTCCTCCACACCATCTGCAGCGTCTCTCCACTGCTTCATCAATCAATCTTTCATCTCCATTTCTATGTCCAGGCAATGTCTTTTCTCAGCTCAGTTTCATATCCTCCTATCTTTTTCGCTTGTTCGGTGTAATTAAATTTGAGCAGCGAAAGGTTGACTGTCTGTCTGTGCTGGAAAACAAATCGATCATCTTCTTATCTGCAGCCACACAGCTGGCAATGTTCTGAGGACTGTAGAGGGAGAAACTCGCAGGGATATTTGTGGACGTATCACAGCCTTCTTTCCCCCCATTCAGCTTTAAATGTGTTCTGTTTTCAAGCTCATATACAAAGCAAAGGCAAACACTTCTCTTATGTAATAAGCTCTTAACTGTTCTTTTATTGTATGCATTTTCTGACCTTGTTTAGCTGCACTGGATGACTGGAGCTTCTTTTTTTTGCCTGTAGAGGATGTGTAGGCGTGTCCTCTGGTTGTTTTCAGTTCTATGAATTTAAGCTCACCCTAATCTGATTTTCCTGAGATTTTATCTGATTATCTGACAAGACTGGCTTACATTCACTTCTATAAACTACAGCAAAGGTCACTTGATTGGACAGACACCAAGATAAACAGGTCTGGGCTGTGAGTAGCCAATGATGTAGTACAACTGTTTAAAAACTGATAAAAAATACATGGTGCTACCACTGTCCACTCTCTTTATTAGATATTAGCTATCATTTACAAATGTAATAATGAAGAACATAAACAACACAAAGACTTTATTTAAAGATGTAGATGATTTGTTTGAAAGAAACAACTCTGACTTCTGACACTGACCACACCCTGGAGCACATTTCTGCATCACAGAGAGAAAAAAAGTGGTCTGTGAGCATGAAAACTGACGTATCTGTGGTCTAAATATATCTTTTAATTATGCTGTTTTAAGCTTACAAATATAGTAAACACATATATTTGTGTAAACACTCAGACAATTTATTAGGTATAGCTTGCTAGTGCCGTGCTGACCTCTCTTTTGTCTTCAGAGCTGATTTAGTTCCTCATGGCACAGATTCATGAGTACAGGGAACTCAGTAACATGTTGACCAAACCAGGTCAACATGTTACTGAGTTTTGCGATATGGTGCATTATCCTGCTGGAAGCAGTGACCGGAAGATGGGTACACTGTGGTTATAAAAGTGTGAACATGGTCAGGAACAAAACTTAGGTAGGCTGTGTTAGTACTAAGGGACCCAAAGTGTGCCAAAAAATACCCACGAACATCATTATACCCCCACCAGACTGAACAATGATAAAAGCCAGGAGGGATCCATGCTTTCATGCCGTTAACTCTAAATCCTGACCCTACAATCCGAGTGTTGCAGCAGAAATTGAGGCTCATCATATGATCACAGAATTTGGTGAGCCTGTGTGAATTGTAACCTCAGTCTTCTGCTGTTGTAGCCCATCAGCTTGAAGGTTTGACATGTTGTGCATTCAGACTTGCTCTTGTGCTCACCTTGGTTGTAATAAGCTGTTATTTGAGTTAGAGTCTCATCATTCTCTTCCGACCTCTGGCATCAACATGAGATTTTATGTGGGTGAAAATCTCATCTTTGTTATTTGTCATTTTGACGGTCAGCTTGGACCTCAGCAGGTCGTCTTAACCATGTCTACATGCCCAAATGCCCTGAGTTGTTGCATTGTGATTGACTGATTGGATATTTGTGTAAATAGGCTGTTAAATACATTGTACCTCATGAAGTGTCCCGTCAGTGTATGTGTTCGCCATTTATGGAGGTTTTCTCATTTGTAACTAATGGCTTAAGTAACGGCTTTGTATGTGAGATATGCAATCTTTTCATAGTTTTTATCCTGAAAAATAAAAACTCAAGTAAAGTACATATATCTAAAAATTCTACTTGAGTACAGTAACAAAGTAGTACTCTGTTACTTCCCACCTCTGATCTTAAGGTAAACTCAAACTGTTCAGTATCTGCGCTTTGCCTGTTAGGAGTATTTCGAGATGTAAAGAAATGATCGCTCAGCCTTTGGTAAGTAAAGCTTATAAACATCAAACATCACTAAATGTTTTGGATCAAATTTTCTGCATCAACAGTGCATCGCTGAGATGAATGTAAATCACAAAGCAGATGAAAAGAGAACGATTTTCCACAAACTGGCAACTAAGTATGAGCAACTAATGTTTAAATAGTAGATCACGTTTTTAAGTGAAACTTTATAGAGAAAATGTAGCAACAGCGGTGACGTGTAACCATGACACCATCCTCCTCCTCCTCTGTGGCCCTCCCTGTTCACTTTACTTTGTCGTTGATAAAGGGGTCTTGTGACACACTGCCCCCCCCCACTATACAAACACTTAGGAAAAATAGTCCAAGCTGTCAAGCAACCGCGTGAGCGCGCACTTTAACATTGGAGAGCGCGCTCCGGAGTCGCTCGCTTCCGCGGGCGCACAGAGGATCCCGAGAGCGCAGCAGCATCACTTGAGTCCGACTCACAGGTGCTCCTCTGCCGCTGCTCTGCTCTTGAACTGGCACCTGCCGTTATATTTGCTCGGAAACTAAAAGTTCAGAGTCGATTGCTGGGAGAGAATTTTCTCAAACACACAGGGATTACCGCGGTTTACAGCTACATCAAGGTAAGAAAAAATAATTCTGCTTGTTTAGTGCGTGTGATTAGAAGAAAAACCAGTGTGAAGCTAAAATAAAAAATAAAAATGATTTTAGTGGAGTCAATAAAACTGAGAGGGAGCAGAACATACCAGTGGCTGACAAATTAAAGGAAAACTGAAAGTCTTGGTAAGGTGTTGGGTCATGAGAACTGCTGCGGTGCACATTAGCATTGATTGGTAGAGGAAGCATGGACACCATATTAACCAAAACACCAAAAGATGTGTTTTGGATAATATGGTGTCCATGCTTCCTCTACCAACACTGGCTTACAAATCTGTCCAGAGTCACCCATATCGGTTCATTTGTATTGAGATGCGGTGACTGTAAGGTCACATGGGTCAAATCATTTTCTTACTCATCAAACCAGTCAGTGAGCCCTGGTGCCCTGTGGATGAGGGGCATTTTCCTCCTGGAGGAGTGTGTAATCATTTAAACGTTGGTACAGAGGGATACAAGTAGACAAAAACAATTTGCATCCACAGCAAAACAGACTCTGTTTAAGGGTCTTTTATTTTCCTCTAATTTGCCACCTACATGGATGTCCATATGTGGTTTGTGCCTCTAGCTCAGCAGCAGGTCGTTTAAGCTTTAAGGATTTAGTCATTCAAGTAAAAAAAGAAATGTATTTCTTTTTGGCTTTAGTGACAAAGACGTGATCGAAGAGATCGACCAGACGAGTGACGGGAAGATACTGAAAAAGTGTGGATACAGTATGTGTGTGTAGGTGAAGTCAATATAGGCTTTAAGTTCCCATTTCCATGGTCTGATGGGTTATTGGCTGGTTGAATGGAAAAGGAAAAGGAGGCAATTCAGGGACAGAGCTCTGTTTGCACCTCAATTATTTAATTTAAGTTTCAAAATTCAGCAGGCATGCATATATAATTACAGCATCCAGCCTGGAGAGGATACTTTAGCTACGTATGGTTGTTTGAGTCAACATAATAGTGGTGATAAATAAAAAGAAATGGACTGGTTAAAACATGCAGATATTGTCCATGAATGTAAAATAGGCTCAGTTTAAATAGCCACAGTAATGATGTGCAAGATTTTTTTTTTAAAAAAAGGACTCCTGCAGCACAGCGTCATTCCGTAGCTCGTAAAGTAAAACATTAACTCGATCAGACGCTGTCTCACAGGATGTGCGGTATGGACGTGGACCTGGACGACGGCGGTTCTGCTGAGGAGGAGAAAGAGGAAGATTTCTGGATCGGAGAGGGCGTGAAGATGCTTCCCCCGCCTGTGGCTCACAGCGGGGGCAGCGCTTGGGGCAGCCGTAGGGGAAGGTGTGGCTGCGTGGCCTGCGGGGCGGCTCTCATCCTCTGGAACCTGTGCGTGGTCTTAGCCAGCGCTCTGCTCCTGGCTGTGGTCTTCTCTGTGGTGCTCCTGCCTGCAGGGCTGCTGCTGTATGCTGGTTTCCTCTGCCACTCCAGGGTAAGCTGTAAAAATCTGTAGCAGAGAGTGCCATTTATCACCACATGTTAGATTGCAAAGTCTTATCTGAGTTAGTCATGCCTGCGGATGAAATTTCAGAGAATACTTAGTAAAAGTTGATAGAGACACAGGGCCAAAGGGTTAAAACTATAACGTTGGACACAGGATGCTGTTTAGTGGTGTTGGGAATCACAATGGGCCCCATCGGGCAGCACTTTAACAATGCAAGATAATGGAAATTTAGATAGCCAAGTTATGCACTGAATTTTTTATTTTTACACCCCTTCAACACAGATTATGTCCCCCAACAGTCCTTTTATACTGTAAGAGTTTCCTCTCTCTCTCTATCTTGCCAAGTAGACTGAGGGAACCATCTGTCACACTGCAAACACACACACACATGCACACACACACTAAACGAACTGGAACAACTGCTTCTGTATAACTTGTACACTGTCCTGATTTACCGGACACAGACGCAGGCACAGTAAACAGTCTGCTTTCTGTAACTGTATGTTTGGAAGAGTTCATTCATTTTCAAGGGGACTTGTTATGCTCATTTCCAGCTCCATGTTTCTATTCTCGGGCTCTATCAGACCTTGCATAATCCTTGTTTATCTGGTACAGGACATTAGGGCAGTCCCTCAGTCTATCCTCTGTCTAAAACAAGCTGTTTTAGCTCAATTTCTCCATCCTCTAAGCTGACTTTCTTCTGACCGTTCTACCTCATGAACAAAAGGTTTGCACAGAACTGGTAGCCTTAGATGACATCACACAGAGCCAAGAGTAGAAAAAAAACCCAAGCTTCTGTTTAACAGGGATCAGTTGTTCATACGCTGACGTCTCTATTGGCCATGTTTAATCTGAGTGTCCACAGCACTAACGGTACATATATGACAGACAATAAGGAGAGCCGTTATTTTAACATGTTTATAATTTTGAAGAAACATGCTTACGTGCAGAGATGCAATTACAATATTTTCTGTAGCAAGTAGAATTTAGCAACTAAAGAGGTATTTCCCTTGAGAGACCTTTGAGTCAAAACAGACACCTGATAATTAATCTACAGTGGATTTATTAAGTCATGGCTCCAGATAAATGGTGACGTTGCTCCATTTCTATTAGCTGAATTGATAAGCTGCTGTTTATTAAGTGACAACATTAGTGTTGCGTTTGTTACTTACATCATATCGCCAAACGTATTCCCTCATCTGCCTTCACACGCGTATGAACTTGAATGACATCCAATTCTTAATCCATAAGGTTTAATTTGATGTTGTGCCTTTGCAACTCTAATAGCATCAAACTTTTCCCGGTATGCCTTCCACAGGTTTAGGAGTGTTCATGGGAATTTTTGATTTTTCTTCCAGAAGTACATTTGTGATGTCAGACACAGTTGTTGGAAGAGAAGGCCTGGCTCACAGAGGTGTTCTGTCAGGCTGAGGTCAGGACTCTGTGCAGGCTAGTCAAGTTCTTCCACACTAAACTCGCTCATCCATGTCTTTCTGCACTGGTGCTCAGTCATGTTGGAACAGGAACTGGATATGAAATTGTACAAAATGTCTTGGATTGCTGAAGCTTTAACAGTTCCTGTTGCTGGAACTAAGGGGCCGACCCCAACTCCTAAAAAACAACCCCACACCATAATCCTTCCTCCACCAAACTTTACATTTGGCACAATACTCTCAGACAAGTACTGTTCCCCTTGGAACCAACAAACTCAGACTGACAGATGAAGAAATGTGATTTGTCACTCCAGAGGACACGTCTCCACTGCTCTAGAGTCCAGTGGAGGTGTGCTTTAAACCACTGCGTCTGATGCAGCTGCTCGGCCATGGAAACCCATTTAATGAAGTTCTCTACACACTTTTCTTGAGCTGATCTGAAGGCCACATGAAGTTTGTAGGTCTCGGCACACTATGCACCTCAGCATCCGCTGACCATGCTCTGTGATTTTACATGACCTACCACTTCATGGCTGAGTTGCCGTCATTCCCAATTGCTTCCACTTTGTTATAGCAACACTAACAGCTGACTATGGAGTATTTAGTAGTGTGGAAACTTTACAGCTGGACTTGTTGCACAGGCGGCGTCTTATCACAGCACCACGCTGGAATTCACTGAGCTCCTGAGACCGACCCATTCTTTCACAAATGTTTGTAGAAGCAGACTGCATGCCTAGGCGCTTGATTTTACACACATGTGACCATGAAAGTGATTGTAACACCTAAATTTAATGATTTGGATGGATGAGTGAATACTTTTGGCAATATAGTGTATGTCTGGTGCCTCCACGTTTATAACGCAGGCACAAGAGGCTAGTACTTATCTAAGTGTACAAATGTATTTGGTTAAAAATACATATTTTGTTTGTATTTATGAAGTGAAAAGAAGACAAAAACAGACCCTGCAAAACAAATGTTTCAGGCACACATTTACTTGTAAAGGCTTAGCGCTCCATTAGTGCTCAGGGCTTTAATTTACTTCCTGGCATTTGCAAGGCAGGTGAAGAATTACTAGGAGTTATCAGAGACTCCGACTCTTCAAACCCTGCAGTAACATCTGACAAGCACTTCTGAAGTAAAACTGACAGAGGAGCTGGAAATGACTACTACAAAGCAGCATAGAAACTTCTTTGAAGACAGGCACAGAAGTCATGCCAACACTTTGAAAAGCAAGAAATGGACGTCTGATGGACGAAAAGATAAACATGAGGGACTGACACAGGCCTCGTGGTGCACCTTTCCATTGGGGAGGGTTGATGCGCACGCAGGGTTAGCATAGGAGAGTCAGCAGAAGAAAAATTGTAACCTGTAAAGCACCTAAAGAAACACAAACAAGTCTGAGTCATTTCAGAGTTAAAACTGAGGTTTTTAGGTTATGAAGAAAAAAACAGGAGATGCAGCTTTTGGAGCATCTTGTTCAAACAGGCGAATAAATATTCTGCTTCGAGGTTATGCTGCACCAACACAAACAAGCCTTTTTGAGAGAAATATCACAAAATTAATCCTGCAGCCAATCAAGGAAGAAAAACCTAAGTGTAAAGAGGGTTACTTCTCCGAAAGGATGATGATCCAAAATGGAACAATGCACGACTTCATGAAACATCAGCTAAAGTGTTGAGAGTGGCCCTGGACTTCCATGGACCTGACCATCATTGAAAATCTCCGGTGCGATAAAAAGTGATCTGCAAGAGGAGTGGGTGAAAATCCCTGCACAGAGAGCCTCTGTTACCTGGCTGTAATATTTGGCACAGTCTATTATTTTGTCCTATTTCTTTTTAATTAAATAAAACAATTAAGCTAAAATAAGTGTTTGAATCTGTTGCTGCAGGGTTGTATGTACTTCTTTTCATTAAACAACCAACAAGATATCTGCTCAGGGCTGCCCAAATATTTGCATACAAGTCTAAGAGTCAGTTCACAAATCATTTGAGAGAAGGAATCTGCTCTGCCACTGAGTCTTCTTTAACTTCTCTGGAAGTTTAGGCAAGTAAGCCCATGCCATTTGTAAACAATAGGAGGATTATCTGTCATTAAGGTTGACTCTGGAACCTGGAGAAGGCAAACAGTCAGCCTTCAGGCCAACTCTTCTTGGCAGCATTTTCTACATGTGTACCTCACACCTTCCCCTCAGAGGTGTTCAGACATATTCTCTGGGTTTGCACAGCAAAACAAACACGGTAACTTGAGTTTGAATGTTGGAGTTTGTCAGCATTTCTGACAGGTGCGGCTCTTCTTGTGTGAGATACACGAAATGCAGTTAAATCAGTAAAGAGCAGTGGACCTGGGCATCGTACCAAGTCAGGCAGGAGAGAGCTACAGTTCGGTCCTTAGCTTACCCGATAGGTCATAAAATCAAAGCCCGGCTGAAGACCCTGGTTGTCTCAGTTAGGAGTGATTTGTGCACAGCCATGTAGGGCACTGCACATGAATTAAAAACATGCAACAAGGGGACACAGAACGAGAATATAATCACGATTAGGCCAGAGTGAATGTCAGAACAGGCCAAGCAATTACAGACAATGTCAGTCAGACTTCTTCCTTTTGTGGCAGCAGAGCACGAAGCGAGGGAAGACAAGACAGTCTGATTTGGTGCCAGCACCAGCTGTGCACAGACACACTGTCAGCACGACAAGGAAGGAAATGTACTCAGTGAAAGCATCACTTTACACTTCGCGGAGGGGTGTGTGCGCTTGCAGGTGTGTATTAAACACCGCTGTTGCTACGGTGCATTTAGAAAAAACAACTTTTAGCTTAGAATCAGAATCACTTGTGCAAAAGAAATAGAAACAATAGTAAAATGAGAGTGACTCTTTACATTTAATATGCCTTAACATGCGATTTAGTCATGAAAGTGTCTCCGCTTGCATTTTTCTAACAGATTTGTGTGAGACAAGTATGTGATGTACACTCACTGGACACTTTATTTCAGCTTGCTAATACTGGGTTGGACCCCCTTTTGCCTGAATAATAATAATAATCGTTGATGATTGCTTCTTGGGGGTATCAATTCAACAAGGTGCTGGAAATGTTCCTCAGATATTTTGCTCCATGTCAACATGATAGCGTCACACAGTTGCTGCAGAGTTGTTGGCTGTATAACCATGATGTTAATCTCCCCACCACATCACAGAGGTGCCCTGTGCTTCTTTGCAAAACCTCTCAAGCTCCAATCAGGGTGGATGGGTGTGAATTTCAGATCTCTTGACTAAAGTTCAGTTGAGTTCAAACCTAGGCTGTGGCTGAGCCACTCCTTTGTTATCTTGGCCGTGTGCTTAGGATCGTTGTCCTGTTGGAAGATACATTTTTGCCCCATCCAAGGTCCAGAGCTCTCTGAAGCAGGTTATCATTAAGGATGTTCATCTTTCCATCCACCCTGACTAGTTTCCCACTTCGTGTACTCACACTGTACTCTTCCCCACACGCATGCCTTGATACAATCTTGTTTATAGGCCTACAGACCATTCCTTGAACTTCATGCCTTGGTTGGTGCTCTGACGCGCACTGTCAGCTATGGGACCTTATATAGGCAGGTGTGTGTCTTTCCAAATCATGTCCAATCACCTGACTTTACCTGTGAAAAGGCTGTGAATATTTATAAAAATGTACGTGTTATATTTTTATTTTTTCTTTGTAGTACATTTCCAAGAATTTTTCATTTTGTGTTTGTGTGTCAAAATGTGAGGTGAAAAATGAATTAAATCCGTTTTGAAAAAGGCTGTAACACAACAAAAATGTGGAACACATGAAGTGCTGTATGTTTTAAGAAGAAAAACAGTGACATTTACTTTCTTTTCAAATTGAAAAACCATTTAGTAAAAAGTGGTCATCAGATGTGTTTGAATTGTAAGCTCTTGTAACAATGTCACTGCGTCCTCACACAGGTGTGAGTTTCAGCTGCTAACTTTGCTGCTAGCTTTGTCTCTCTGCTTTTTGCAAGCTTCTGACTTTTACTATCTGACCACCTGCTGTCCTCCTCCTCCTCTCGCTTGCAGGTGACTGACAGCTCTGAGGTTTACTGACAGCACTGAGCACACTCTTATCTTGCAGAGAGAAAGAGCGAGGCAGGGAGAAACTCTGTCATGCCCCACTGCCCACACAGTCCCACTACTGCACCCTCAGCACACATCCAAACACGCCTCATATTTAATGAATACAAATCCTGCCTATTTGCTTTTTCACAGATGAGATGGAGCTTCTGCTGAAGCCAAAGTGCTCATCACATGTTTTGGAGCACCTCTGTCTCATCTCCTGTGTTTGTCCTTGCAGGTCCTTGATGCACCCTCTGCCATCTGCCATTATCTCGATGACAACAGCTGCTCTGCCCTCATCATCCTGGGCTTTGTGATGATGTCTCCGCTCGTGATTGTGGCGGCGGCAGTCTTCTGCGGGCTGCTCCGAAAGTTTCGACTCCTGCTTTTCATTCAGCCAATCAAGCGCGCCTGGTACAGAGGGAGGCTGCTGGACTGGGCGGGCAGCATCCACGCCTGGGTTTGATCACAACAGAGAAGGTGGTGCTGAGGGTCACAGTGATCGGAAAGATTGATTTGTGCAAGACGAACCTGAGGGTTACAGATGTTTTGCAAAAATAGAAACATCATTATAGTCGATAAGACAGTCATACAGCTAATACTTACTTTGTCAATGGTTGTAAAAATGTTTGACATTTTAGAAATATTCGAGTCCTCTTTTCTCCTGTTAGTTTTGGTGAGAAAATCAATATCACCCTCATGTCTGTGTGGTGATATTGAAGCTGCAAAGACCAGATAATTAACTTAGAACGGGATAAAGACTGAAAACTTTGATTCAGGGTGAAACCCAAAACACATACATTAATATAAACCACCTAAAAAGATATTCCAGAGCTTTAGAGGTGACAGTAGGAAGATTAAATTAGCCTTTCCAGCTAGATGTTGCTGGGATTTGTGCTTATCAAACAGCCATCTGCCTTCAGCCTCCTCTTTGAGAGTGCAGTCACCTCTCACTGATCTCTCAGACAGAATCCAAAAGTGTAACTTCTAAAATGTCAAACTGTTCTTTCAAGACCAAGACCTGTGTTATTGTGTCACATATTTCTTTTTATTCATTTGGCTACTCGCGGCCCATTCTGGGTAATTTTGTGAATTGTTTTTTTTTGTTTTGTTTTTTTGAAAATGACCCTAGATGAGGGTTTGTTGGGTTTGTGTGGCTTTTACACAGAAACAGACCAGTTTTCTTAGATATGTAGTGCCATCTTACAAGAATCTTAAAGCAAAACACATTACGGGCTCATTATTGAAGTAAACCAGATGCATATTAGAACAGACGAGAAAAAAAAACATGCAAACTTCTTGGAGAGTGAAGGATACCTGCAGAGTATTCACGCAAGCTTTAACAGCTCCTTGTTGGTTTATTTTGAGGACACATCAAACACCAGTTTAACTATGATTTTGTACAAAAGCTCATATTGTTGTGATTTTGTATTGCCTGTTTGCGAACTACATGGATGTGTTTAAATGTGAGACCTTCTCAGAAGGTTGTATTTGTGGTTGCACTTGAGAACTCTCTAAATAAGAAAAACCGTTTTTCCAAGCATGCGATTAAAGCCCCGTCCACACAGGGAACAATTTGTTCGTTTCACTCCCGGCTTTGTCTCTGACAGTTGGTCACTAGCGGACATTCCAGGTTGCCTAGGTTACCCTCTAATGTACAGTGTTGTGCAAAAGTCTTGGCCCACCCTTCATTTCTTTATGTTTTGCTTCCAAAAAGCCAAACTTGATAGTAATTTTTAAAACATTTTCTTGAACATCAGTTTTGTTGTTGTTTTTTTGTTTTTTTCCCCACTCATTTTCAGTTGAAGCTATAAAAATGCCAAAGATATCAAAGTTTGAAGGCATTTTTGCACCAACAAGGTAATACCCAAAGTGCTATTAGCTAAAGATTTGGCATATCTAGAAAAAAGGAAAACTGCAGCAAAGACCTGACACAGGACCTGAGTGATGCATCTATCCCTTCAGTTGATCCATCTACTGTTCATTCAAGATAATTCATTCAAATCATCAGTATATAGAGAGGAGGTCAGGAGAGATGAACAACAGTGAGTGTCTGCAGCCATCTGCAAAACAGTGGAGGCGCTGTCATGGTTTGGGGATGCATTTCAGCAAGTGGTGTTGGAACCATCAGAAAAGCATCAGATTTTTCAGTGATCCCAAACACACCTCTAATTCAGTAAAAGCAAACCTGGCTAGAAAAGCACGCAATGAAACACACTGAAGCAGTGTGGGATCATCTTCACAGAGAACAGAAGGTAGCCAACATCCAAAGAAGAGCATTGAATGGCCTTTAAGAAGCCTGCAGAACTTTTCCTGAAGACTACTTAAAGAAATTACAAGAAAACAAGAAAGTTCAGTTCAAATAGAATTGTACAAGCTCCATACACTGCATTTCTATGTTTGCTTGCACATGTTTCGATAAATTATTGCAAAATAAAAAGAAACAATGGGTGGCTTGAGACTTTTCCAAAGTTCTGTAGCTCATATCGTTGTCATGTGTCAATCAACGGCATTCCTGCCTTCTCATTTATAGGTGCTTCAATCGCTCACCTGCGATGGGGCTTTTAGGAGACCCTTAAAAACAAGGCGAATCTTGTGAAATGCATTATAACTAGAATTACTCTCTTGCGGTTTTTGCAGAATATGATGTTGTCATTATTTTGACGACATCTAATAGGATTTTTTCCTATTAGACATTTTTGTAAGTTATGGCCTAAAGTGTCACGAGGAACATCAAAGCTTTGATTATGAGGATCATCCTTGAGTCGAAGCGAGTTTTTGTGCCAAAAATATGAAGCAGTTCCTTCATGATGTTCACATGGAATCATAAACGCCCACCCAGTGGCATAAAAAACTTTCACAAAGACTTAAATTGACAGTAAAGTTTATTCCCAAGGAGTTTTACCCAATGTAGCATCATCAGCAGTCATACCTTGTGAATGTGGGGGCGATATGAAACATATTTCATTTTAATGCTTCTTTTAGATCACATTGTGCCATAAAAAAACACCCCTCTTCGTGAACACAACTAAAGTCGACAGCATGACAAAGTAATTGCCTTTCAGTGGGATCAGACTATTAAAGAGGGATTTGAATCATCACATCAGGAGTTCATTGTGTTGCCTCTTTGCTTTCCGGTCCTTTAAATTCACCAGTGACACGCTGCAAACCCTTTTATCTGTGTCCTTGCTCCATAGCTAAGTGTTCAGACTTGTGGCTTTGCCTTTCAGAAGGAAGAAATAAATCATATTTAATGATGGGCATTGATTATTCATCCTCTGCCACTTGTATCATGCTAAATTATATGTATTTTTTAGCTTATTTATTTGTGTGTTTTGTTTGTGTTTATTAATCTGAATGTGCTCTGTTAATCCAGCCAGATAAAGAATGGATCGAAGTTAAGACCAGTGTTTTGGAGAACCGTGTAGGAAAAAGGCTGAAATAGTTTTTTTTAATGTCACAGGGTTGTATACCACATCTGAAGCAAATTACTGGGAAAATTGCAGCAGCTAATTGAGGTTTATTTATTTTTTTGTTCAAAGTGAACTTTGGTGTTATCAACAAAACAGCATGTTCTGACCTTCCATCAATAAAAAAAGAGGACATCTCTTTGTCGGCATGTCTCTTTTGTGTTGTGACCCGTTTTTGAAGGTTGCAAAGCTTTAAAGATAGGGTAGTAACATTTACTTCTCACTTTCTCTCAAGCTCACAAGCAGAGCACACACTTGGATACTAAGAGGACACTATCACACTCATTTCTGAGGAAAACAATATGATAAAGTCTGCGATAAAACTGGGACGCTGGCTGGTCACATCTGTGCAGATCAACAGAGCAAATGAGCTAATTAAAGGAAAATGTTGCCTCTGATTATGTTTTCGTCCAGTCTGTTCTCATGATTTATGCTGCCCATTAATGCAGTTCAGCACTCTTCATATTGACAAATTAAAACTATCCTGCGGCCTGAAGTGCTGACATGCGTCTGCTTTCAGTAGGATGAATGTTTATCTTGCAATTTGCAAAAGCAATCTTCAGTATCTAAAGGATGTAATTTTGCTTGAATTAGTCAAAATAAAATAGTCTGGGCTAAGTCTGGAATCTTAAAACGTGTTTAGCCATGCCGCATGGTTTTATCGCAGTGTCGTCTCACTGCTGGTTTACTCAGTAATACATTTTCACCAAAAACAATAAAGGCAGACATTTGTAAAAGCACGGGTCCTTTTGAAAAGCTCACTGAATTCAAGTATGGCACTGTAACGGGATGCCACCATTGCAACAAGTCAGTTCACAAACTCTCTTCCCTCCTAGATATTCTTTACTCAATCAGTAAGTGTCATTATTGCAAAGTGGAGGCATTCAGGAAGCACAGCAACTTAGCCATATAATAGCAGACCACATAAAGTGACAGGCCATGTTCTCCGAGTACTTAGATGAATAGTGAATAGAAGTTGACAACCCTGTGGTGCGTTTTAAGCCTCCTCTGGCATTAACATCAACATGAAAATTGTGCACTGGGAGCTTTATGGGTTGCCTCAAATGGGTTTCCGTGGCTGAGCAGCTTCTAAATTTATTGAAGATCTGCTGTTTAATGACAATAAAAAGGATAATACTAAGAAGTAAACTTTGCAAGACAATGTGCACTAATATTACTGCAGAGCTCCTGAAGGTGTAATGTGTTGGTGACCCAGTAGTTTTCTCCAAATGCTGCAGGGGCTCATTTTCAGCCCACATTCACCTTTTTTTTTCCAGTGGCACATTGTATTACCTAATGCTAGCTCAAAGGATGATCAATCACACACAAAAAATGCAATTATATAGACTAAAGAAGTAAAGAAAAGAAGTATTACATCTGTAGAAACAGCCATGATTCAATAATAGTCATAAAAAAAGAGTGAAGTGTTCCTAAATTAACATACTATACTAAAATTGGACATGAAAATTATTATTCAAACAAGTAAAAGCTGGACCATATCACCACTGAGGGTAAATGTGTGCTATAGTAAAATTTCGGAGATTTGTGACGCTTTCATGACAAACAGAAACAAAAAAAGTTAGTCATTAGAATTGGGAAAGAACTCTGTTTCAGTAAAATTGGCTCAAGGTCTAAAACATGTGAAAGGTTCTGAGTAGTCGCCCAGTGTGGGCAGTAAATCAAGCCGCAATTATCTAGTCCATAAATATAACTCTGAAGTGCAGGCCTTCAGCTTTAATTCAGTGGGATGAACAAAAAGATTGCATACAAATGTGAGGAACTAAAGCATTTTAACAATCCCGTCATTTCAGTATTTGGACAAATTAAATAGCTCAAAATAAAATGTTCACTTGGTTGAAAACCCATGGCTGGTAATGACAGCCTGAAGTCTTGAACTCATGGACTTCACCAAATGCAGGGGTTTCTACTTTTTAATGCTCTGTCAGGCCTTTACTGCAGTTGCTGTTTGTGGCCATTTCTTTGTGAAGTTTATCCTTTAACAAGAGATCAGGTGACTGACTCAGCCATTCAAGAATATTCCACTTCTTTGCTTAAACTCCTGGGTTGTTTTGGCTGTATGTTTTTGGGTCATTGTCCATCTGTATTATGAAACACCGCCATATCAATTTGACTGCTTGTAGCTGGATTTGAGCAGACAGTATGTCTCTGAACACCTCAGAATTCATTCGCTGCTCCTGACCTGTGTCACATCTTCAATAAACACTAATGTCTCAGTTCCACTGGCAGCCATGCACGTCCAAGCCATCACACTCCCTCCGCCATGTTTTACAGATGATGTGATATGCTTTGGATCACGAGATGTTCTACGTCTTCTCCTGTACTTTTTTCTGAACGTTTTTCCAGTACTGTGCTGGCTGTTTTAGATTTTTTTTTTTCAGTCTTCTCTTTGTCGTACACTTGGATATTGATGCGCCTACCTCCTGGAGAGTGTTGTTCACATGGCTGGCTGTTGTGAAGGGATTTCATTTCACCATGGAAATGACTGTCTTTTAAAAATCTGAAACTTTAAGCAACATTCAGACTTGGTCTGTGCTGACTCCACACATGCCCAGTTCTATGGATCCATCTTGTTGTCTTTAAAGTTTATCACCTTCACATATTTGCCAGATGGTCATGGTTAACTTTTTTCCCATTTAGATTAACTAGGTGGATCATGTGAGCTTTAGTGTTCCCCTTTCGCATGCTCCACTTCCTCAGCATGCTACAGGGAAAATTGACATCTACCATAAGTCAATCTGTTGCACAATTTTCTGCCATTTTCTGCTGTTAAGTGCTTGGCAATTAGAAAAGATGTCCAATATAGGGAGGAAATTGTGGGAGGGTGGAGCGGAGATTGAGCTCTGAAAGCCAGAAGCCATGACAGAAAGGGCTCTGGTTTACTGCTAATAATAAAACAAAACAAAACATAATAATCAAGCTATTATTATATATTTGAAATCCTGATATCTCCTCTAGACAATGCTTCATATCTGATTTTCATCATTGATTATTTTCCAAATGGAAATTTTGAAGGATATGTTTTAATAATTTTGAAGGACATTTATTTTAATATGCAATGCTGAACTGAGGCTGTGAATATTTCCATGTGTTAAGAGGAGATAATGGCAATTTTGTTTGTGTGAAAATGTGTATTTTTCATTTCTTCTCTTATTTATTTATTTAGTTTCATTAGTACTGGTAGAGACAAAAATGCAGGGAAAGTGCCATTAAACAGAAAAACAGGGGATGCGCAGTGCATGCTTCTATTGGTGTGCAAGACTTCACAGCTCCAAGTGTTACTGTACTAAATTTTACTCACCAAAGTGCTAATGTGAATGTCGTGGCAGGTCCAATAATCTTTTGACATGGCAAAGTTCCCGAATGAAACAAGGAGTTAGAAATGGTAGATTTTTATGGTTTAATCCTCTGTTTTTATGAAAAGGGACTTATGATGTGTGGAAGCAAAGTTTGACACCAGAGTTATGATAAGTTATCCACAATATGAACAAGAAATTTATTTATTTATTTAATGAAAACGGTAAATTCATGAAAATCCTAACTCCAAGAATCTGTATTCTTTACAGTAGAGCATTTTTATTGTTTTATTTCAAAGTATAATACTTCATCGTGACTTAGAAATCAAAAAAATATGATGCAATATTATTTAGCTTTTTAGTATAGCCTGGTCTCAATATCTATTTTAGACACTACAGGTTAAAAGGATATAATATTGTCATGTAAAAACTTTATTGTAAATATTTCATATGTGTTTAAAAAACAAAACAAGAGTTCAAATGCATTAAAACGTGTTAAATCACAATAAATAGAAGTCAATTATAATTTAAGTGTTCATGGAGTTAAAGTTACAAGAACCCAAAGGTTTGTTATCTAATGTAAACAAGGAAACTTTGTATTTGCTTCAAGTTGTTTACAAGCTCATTTGGGTTGTCATCTTGTTTTGTTTTTCCCATTGGTTTGATGTAACCTATTGTCAATCAGACGTAAGGAAGGCGGGATCTAAGTGAGGCGAAGAAAAGAAAAACTAAGCTAGTGAGAGTCGGCAGCAGCACGTTACCGGAGGAGGTTGTGTACCAGAGCTAACGGAGAATAGTCAAACAATAGCCGTGGATGCAGAGTCTATGTTCCTGTTATGGACTGTTTTGCCCTGTGATGATGGACCGAGAGGAATTCTCTGGACCTTCTGCTGTGGATAGGATTTCCGTGGTTTGTCCAGTGTGCTCAGCACCAAGTATGCCGCTAATTCCGACCACGTTGCCGAGTGAGTCCGCATGGTCACAAACCGAGCCTGCCCTCAGCTTGTCCTCGCACTTAGCCGAGGATTTGTGAGTAGCCACGAGCAGTGCGTTTGTTTTCTGCTTGTTTATCAAGCGAAGCGGCCATTTGTGTTTTTCTGGCCAACGAGCCCGAGCAACGATCAGGCCTGCAACGGTTTCAGTACATGAGCTCTAAAAGGTTACAAATTTGAACTGACTAAAAGGGGAATATCTTGGATAAATGTGTTGTTTCTAAAACATGACTGTGAATAGAGAAAAAACCATCCACTTGAATTGTAAGGAAACACTCAGAATTGGAATATTGTATTTTTTATTTTTATTAAATCATACTTTTTTTGACTAAATCTTACATGTTGAATTTAAGTTTTGTGTTGTGTCATATTTATGATTTACAGAGTTTATAATGATAAGGGTTACTAAAGGTAAAAGAGAGGTTTAACATGTTAGATAAATTCATTATTCTTAGTGAAGATTAGACAGAACTCCTTATTTTCACTAAGTGGAGGCACCGCCAACATTAAGATTTCTAAGTACAAAGGTTAAAACTGGTTAGCTATCGTTTCTCCTGTTTACCAATAAAATAATTAACGTACCCAGGGCCCCGCTCAGAGTACTATCACCATCTTAACCGAGGGTTAATCCAGAGCTACTTGAGTTGGGTGCTACACATTGGAGGCACCGCTGGGATTTTTTTTGTTGTATTATATAAGTTTTAAGTTACCACTAAATCTGTTGTAACCTTAAAGTAACTAAGAGTCACACTGGTCCTAAAAAGTAATTTCAATTAATTTCTTGTCTTCCCCCTACAAAGTAACTTGTTAAAACTATGGCCACTAAAAGT